CTGCCTTTATGTAATAATAACTAAGTTCAACCCCTGGACCAGAATAGGACTTGGGGGTTGTTCTTTCTGTTTTTGTAAGTCGGCAGAAACGGCGGACGTCATCGCTTCTGTGAGGGCGCTCCACGTAAGCTTCCTTGCAGAGGAGGCAGTGGAGCGATCCAGTTTGCTACGTCTCTGATCGCACTTCTCTGGTCAAAGTGACCTCTATCCGCGCGGCCTGTGCGACACTGGTGTGTGTGCGTGCCTTGAGTTGGTGCGTGCGTGCGTGTGAGGCATGAAGTGCGTGGTGTGCGATGAAGTGTGTGGTGTGGTGTGGTAAGTGAGTGATGAAGTGTGTGGTTTGGTGAGTGAGATATGAAGTGTGTGGTGAGTGAGATATAAAGTGTGTGGGTTGGTGAGTGAGTGAGATATGAAGTGAGTGGTGTGGTGAGTGTGATATGAAGTGTGTAATGTGGTGAGTGAGATATAAAGTGTGTGGTGTGGTGAGTGAGTAAGATATAAAGTGTGTGGTGTGGTGAATGAGATATGAAGTGTGTGGTGTGGTGAGTGAGATATGAAGTGTGTGGTGAGTGAGTGAGATATAAAGTGTGTGGTTTGGTGAGTGAGTGAGATATAAAGTGTGTGGTGTGGTGAGTGAGTGAGATATGAAGTGTGTGGTGTGGTGAGTGAGATATAAAGTGTGTGGTGTGGTGAGTGAGTGAGATATAAAGTGTGTGGTTTGGTAAGTGAGATATGAAGTGTGTGGTGTGGTGAGTGAGATATGAAGTGAGTGGTGTGGTGAGTGAGTGAGATATGAAGTGTGTGGTTTGGTGAGTGAGTGAGATATAAAGTGTGTTGTGTGGTGAGTGAGTGAGATATGAAGTGTGTGGTGTGGTGAGTGAGATATGAAGTGTGTGGTGAGTGAGTGAGATATAAAGTGTGTGGTGTGGTGAGTGAGTGAGATATGAAGTGTGTGGTGAGTGAGTGAGATATAAAGTGTGTGGTGTGGTGAGTGAGTGAGATATAAAGTGTGTGGTGTGGTGAGTGAGATATGAAGTGTGTGGTTTGGTGAGTGAGTGAGATATGAAGTGTGTGGTGAGTGAGATATGAAGTGTGTGGTGTGGTGAGTGAGTGAGATATAAAGTGTGTGGTGTGGTGAGTGAGATATGAAGTGAGTGGTTTGGTGAGTGAGTGAGATATAAAGTGTGTGGTGTGGTGACTGAGTGAGATATAAAGTGTGTGGTGTGGTGATTGAGATATGAAGTGTGTGGTGTGGTGAGTGAGTGAGATATGAAGTGTGTGGTGTGGTGAGTGAGTGAGATATAAAGTGTGTGGTGTGGTGAGTGAGTGAGATATAAAGTGTGTGGTTTGGTAAGTGAGATATGAAGTGTGTGGTGTGGTGAGTGAGATATGAAGTGAGTGGTGTGGTGAGTGAGTGAGATATGAAGTGTGTGGTTTGGTGAGTGAGTGAGATATAAAGTGTGTTGTGTGGTGAGTGAGTGAGATATGAAGTGTGTGGTGTGGTGAGTGAGATATGAAGTGTGTGGTGAGTGAGTGAGATATAAAGTGTGTGGTGTGGTGAGTGAGTGAGATATGAAGTGTGTGGTGAGTGAGTGAGATATAAAGTGTGTGGTGTGGTGAGTGAGTGAGATATAAAGTGTGTGGTGTGGTGGGTGAGATATGAAGTGTGTGGTTTGGTGAGTGAGTGAGATATGAAGTGTGTGGTGAGTGAGATATGAAGTGTGTGGTGTGGTGAGTGAGTGAGATATAAAGTGTGTGGTGTGGTGAGTGAGATATGAAGTGAGTGGTTTGGTGAGTGAGTGAGATATAAAGTGTGTGGTGTGGTGACTGAGTGAGATATAAAGTGTGTGGTGTGGTGAGTGAGATATGAAGTGTGTGGTGTGGTGAGTGAGTGAGATATGAAGTGTGTGGTGTGGTGAGTAAGTGAGATATAAAGTGTGTGGTGTGGTGAGTGAGTGAGATATGAAGTGTGTGGTGTGGTGAGTGAGATATGAAGTGAGTGGTGTGGTGAGTGAGATATAAAGTGTGTGGTGTGGTGAGTGAGTGAGATATGAAGTGAGTGGTGTGGTGAGTGAGTGAGATATGAAGTGTGTGGTGTGGTGAGTGAGATATAAAGTGTGTGGTGTGGTGAGTGAGTGAGATATGAAGTGAGTGGTGTGGTGAGTGAGTGTGATATGAAGTGTGTGGTGAGTGAGTGAGATATAAAGTGAGTGGTTTGGTGAGTGAGTGAGATATGAAGTGAGTGGTTTGGTGAGTGAGTGAGACATGAAGTGAGTGGTTTGGTGAGTGAGATATGAAGTGTGTGGTGTGGTGAGTGAGTGAGTGAGATATGAAGTGTGTGGTGTGGTGAGTGAGTGAGATATAAAGTGTGTGGTGTGGTGAGTGAGATATGAAGTGAGTGGTTTGGTGAGTGAGTGAGATATGAAGTGTGTGGTGTGGTGAGTGAGTGAGTGAGATATAAAGTGTGTGGTGTGGTGAGTGTGATATGAAGTGTGTGGTGTGGTGAGTGAGTGAGATATGAAGTGTGTGGTGTGGTCAGTGTGATATGAAGTGTGTGGTGTGGTGAGTGAGTGAGATATGAAGTGTGTGGTGTGGTGAGTGAGATATGAAGTGTGTGGTTTGGTGAGTGTGTGAGATATAAAGTGTGTGGTGTGGTGAGTGTGATATGAAGTGTGTGGTGTGGTGAGTGAGATATGAAGTGTGTGGTGTGGTGAGTGAGATATAAAGTGTGTGGTTTGGTGAGTGAGATATGAAGTGTGTGGTGTGGTGAGTGAGTGAGATATGAAGTGTGTGGTGTGGTGAGTAAGATATAAAGTGTGTGGTGTGGTGAGTGTGATATGAAGTGTGTGGTGTGGTGAGTGAGTGAGATATGAAGTGTGTGGTGTGGTGAGTGAGTGAGAGATGAAGTGTGTGGTGTGGTGAGTGTGATATAAAGTGTGTGGTGAGTGAGTGAGATATGAAGTGTGTGGTGTGGTGTGGTGAGTGAGATATGAAGTGTGTGGTTTGGTGAGTGAGTAAGATATAAAGTGTGGTTTGGTGAGTGAGTGAGATATGAAGTTTGTGGTTTGGTGAGTGAGAGATGAACTGCGCCACGAACCCGGCGAACCCGAGTTAAATTCCCGCTCATAACCAACACCAGTGCCGATTATCTGAACCGGTCCTGGGCCTCCCTTAGGTCGACTCAACCTTAAATGACTACCTGTTGCGATGTGTAAACAACAGTACTGGGCAAACGAAGGTGGCCGGGCGTGGCTCCATAACCTCGCGTGACGTGCCGGCATTCATTGATACTCGCTAACAGCACTTTCCCCAACAGTCTATTAAGGCTATGCGGGGGATCTTTGTCTTTGCTAGAGGTGCAGCCCTGCGACTGCTCGCTCAAGGCAACTAGTGGCGGAAAAGAGTCTCCGCTCGAGGGTGTCTTGGCCTACTCTTCCACGCTTGACAGACGTCTTCATGTACCCAAACTGAGACCCCACCACGCTCGACCTGCGGATCGACTGCACCACGTGGTGCACCGCAATTTGTACTTTCTACTCCTGGGTGGGCAGACGCGGCGGGAGTGTGGAGTGTGGAGGGGAGTAGTGCAGGATGAAGTTTGGTGGGGCGCTTAAAAAGCGTGCCCATTCAACTGCCGCGCCCCGGCGATCGTAATCGAAACCGGCGACCTCTGGGGATTGCGCTAAGCGGTAACCCCAGCCTAAGTACGCGCCGTACTTATTTCAAGTTCTCTGAGCGTGGCGGTTGATGGTCGGCTCCTCTCTGCCGGGCCGACTAATTTCACCTCCGATTAAGCACGGTTTGGCTACGTACGGTGCAAAAGAAGTTCAACATACAGGTGCATACATATGGCCGTCCAGAGAGGGGGTTGTGGGGTGCGGAGCCCGGGGAAGATCGCATTATTTTAATCTTTACTTATAGTGGGGGAATCCGATGAGCTATAAAGCTCTTTTTCACAGACGTCCAGTAAAGGCGGTAAGAACGTTCATGTTTCCATTAAAATCCCACCGTGTGGGCCCCCGACGCCTTCAAACTAAACCGGAGGTATTCCAGCTGACACTGTGATGTCGAAGTGACGGTGCCCCCCCCCCAAAGCACGGGGCCTGGGGCGGTCGCCCCGATTCGCCGCGCCCTCGGGACGGCTCTGCCTCTGTGTACACGGTGGCTAGGAGATGTTAACAACCTCGCCTGGTACACAAGAGGTCGTGGGTTCAATCCCGACCCTGACGCCTGCTGTATATTTGGAGTTTGCGTGTGTGTCTCTCTCTCTCTCTCCCCGTGGTCGCGTGGATTTTCCTCCGGGTCCTCCAGTTTTCCCCCCTCCACATTTAGAATCAACATCACCAAGCGTTTACAGTCTCTGGCGGCTAGAAATCTCCACGTGATGATGCCAAGCCACTTCGTTGAGCTATCATTTGTGATAGCCAAGTCGCCTCTGAAAAAGAGCCACGTTGCTCAGTGGGGCCTTACCTGGAAACATAAAAATAAAGTTTAGTTGCGTTAACATCATCTCGGCCGGGGGTCGCTAAATCAGGTACCACTTTGTAGCAACACAAAAGCGGTAGTTTCGTCGTTGCGATCACCCATTCCATTCCTCTCACCGAGGGGCCATGCCCAACCACGCGACGCCGTACTGGTCCTCGTCACGGCAATGTGGAATGTCCGCACACGACGAAGAATGGAAGCAAGCATTGAGGCCACGCTTTAAAAATGATTCCCGATGGAACCCGCGTCATTCGGTCTGACCCCCCCCCCCTCCATGAGTGCCCCCTACCCCCTCACCCCATGCATGTTCCACGTGTAATTATATCACAGCTCCACTCGCAGCAGGCACGGGGGGGGGGGGGGTGGCTGGAGAGTTAGGAGACGCTCTCACTCTCTCTCACTCACTCTCACTCCCTCTCACTCCCTCCTGTCTATCTCTCCACTCTCCCCTACCTCTCCCTTTTCTGCACTCTCTCCAATCTCTCTCTCCAATCTTTCTCCACTCTCCCCCCAAACTCTCCCTTCGCTCCTATTTCTCTCCAACCTCTTTACCCTCTCTCTCTACACTCCCCGATTTCTCTCACCCCCCCCGCCTCCTACCCCCCAATCTCTGGCCACTCTCCTCTATTTCTCTTTCCCATAACTCTCACCCTCCGTTCTCTCCCCCCCCCCCTCTCCTCTACTATCTCCCCTCTCGTTCTCTCCCCCCTCTTTCTATCTCTGACTCCACGTGTCCAGCCAGCCATGGGGAGCCATCTGCGCGCTCTGGCTGTTCTCGTCCTTCAGGTGAGCTCAACCTCACGCGTTCGGGAGCGTTAAACGTTTCGTGTTGGGGAGACAAAGGCGGCCGGGCGTGGTGCTCTCCGCACCGCCGTGCCCGCGCGCGCCGCGTTGGATTTCACCGGAGCTCGCTTAACACCCCTTGCTCCAACAAGCCCTGCGCGAGGCTACACGGGGGATCTTTGTCTTTGCGTCTCTCCTGCTCCTGTCCTACCCTCGATTGGCTGTGGACCGACCGAAGCCTCGGGCCACGGTCGTGGAACGCCACACTGACGACGATGATGTCGATGATGATGATGTTGATGATGATGATCGTGGTCGCCAATGATGGGCGGTCGAGACTGGCGACGGAGTGGAAGCCAACGGAGGGAGCGCGCTCCGAGAGCGGTGTTCCGTCCGACGAGGGAGACGGAGCGATGTTGAATCAGCTCGTGTGCTCGGGGAGCTTATATGAGGATCGGTGCACCGCAAGACCGCGATAGACTGCGACGGCGTTGGTGGTGGAGGCCTTCATCCAGCAGTGGATTGATCATGGCTGATGTTGATGATACCTGGTTATTGTGTAAATGCAACGCGCTACTACGAACCCGACCCCCTGGGTTCGATTCCCGGCCGCGCGGTCGATATTACGAGCGAGCGCCAATGCCTGAGCAACGACATTCGGTACGTAGCCATCGGGAAGAGTAACTGCGAGAGACAAAGGCGGCCCGCGAATATAGGGAGGGCGTTGAGTCTGGAGAATAGCGTGAGTGCGGTGCGTCCGAGAGTCGGGTTGCCGTGCTGCAGCTATGATAAAGCTGGGGTGGTGGTGGTGGGTGGGGGTAACGGTAAGAGCAATGGCGATTGGCGTCGCTCAGATTGTTGGTTGGGACGATGCCCGCGCCGCAACATTCGGGCCGGGGGAGGGCACGAGGGATGGGCACTTTGCCCCACGAGATGCCGGTAGTCGAGCGAAGGGCCGTGCGGGGATTCGAACTTTAACTTGGGCGAGGCGATCGGCCAAGGGAGAGGAGGAGGAGGCGGGGGTGTGGGGTGGTGGTTCGTGAATATCCATCGCCACCTGCGACGCGCCGGGGACACCTGTTGCGATGGAATTGTTTGGCAAAAAAAATACCCGGAGCGGCGCGCGTGCGGCGAATGGATTCAAGTTACGGGATCGCCGGGAGCAGAGAACGAGGAAGCGAGAGACGAGAGAGAGAGGGGCGGGCGGCGGGGGTGCTAGAGATGAAGACGATTAGCGCGGATGGCTACGTACGGTGCGAAAGAAGTTCAACGTCGGGTGCATACGAAAGCTAGGTGGAGACAACAGAGACACGAGTAGATCGCCAACGATGGGCGATCGCAGGGATGTTGGCTTCTCTGTGTTGAGGACTCGACCAGACAGACTCTGTCTCATCCATACCGTGTTCGACCACCACCGTCTCGCTGCAAATCACAACACATTAAAGACAAAGATCCCCCGTATGGAATTAGCAGATTTTTGGGGCAAGTGCCGCTTGCAAAGCACCTGTGAAGGGTTGGCATGACACACAAGGGGGTGGGTGACCAGCACCACGCCCGGCCACCTTAATGGCGATATTTACACATCGTAACCAGGTACTCGTTTGAGGCTGAGTCGACGTAGGGGAGGCCCAGCATCGGTTGATTTAATCGTCACTGGTGTTGGCCGTGAGCGGGAATCGAACTCGGGTCGTCGATTTCGTAGCACAGCGCGCTAACCGCTACGTTACCGCTCCCCACATTCACACATTCACCCACCTATCCACTCACTCACAGTCACTCACCCATTGATCAGCACAGCGATCCACTCACTAACCCACGCATTCACACGGTCACACACCCACCCCACTCACGCGTGTATTCACCTACTCACTCAACCTATCACCCTCCCACTCAATCACATACTCATCCACTCACCCGCTCACTCGCTCACCGCACTGCAGTTCACACTTCTCTTTGATCATTAATAACCTTGCCCAGTTCGAGAAAGGTAATCACGCCGACGAATACCACCTCCAGCCGTGCTGCAGGTTGCCGGCCGCTTGGCGTTTTGTGCGCGCAGTGCGAATGTGGTGGTTGAGCGGCCGAGTTGGTGAGTGAATGGGTGAGTGTGGTGAGCGGCAGCGTAGCGGTCAGCGGCACTACGCTGCGAACGCGTAGCCGGCCGAGTTCGTTTCGCGCTCACGACCAATGGCAGTGGCGACTTTCAACATCAGTCCTGTGCCTCGCCGGTGGCGACTCGGCATGGAATGAGTACACGCTGGTGGTGTGTGAACATCAGCACTGGGGAGACAGTGGCGGACGGGGGTGGTGTTTGACCATTCACTTCCTCGTGCGCCGTGGCGACCTTCAAAGGTACTCGCTAACAGCACTTGTCCAATCAGCCTATTAAGGCTGTACGGGCGGGGAACCTTCGTATCTTGAGTGGGGCGAGTGAGCGGAATAAGTGTATTGTTGCGACTTTGCAGCGACCAACATACCTATGCAACCGAGTCCTCGACACAGTAGCGAGGGAATCGATGAGTGGCCGTGACAATAGCGATAAGAGAGCGATACGGGGGCGACCGACGGCGAGGTAATGGAAGCGAATCGGTGAATGCTGGATCATCAATCACCCCGCCTGCTTTTGATGTTGAATTTGACAGGGCAGCAGCGGCCGAGCGCGTCGGCTCGTCTTGTCATCTTCCCGAGCTGTCAAGTGCGTGCGTTGAACTTCTTTCGCACCTTACGTAGCCAACCGCGCTCATCGGAGGTGCGGTCATGGAAAGGCACGTGAAGGGCGTTGTAGGAGAGCTCTTGCAGAGGGATGAGAGGGGATAGCGGCCGGCCTGCTGGAGTTGAATGCGAAATCTGCTGGGCATCCGTGGAAAAGGAGCTTTACAGCTCATCGGATTGCTCCAGTGTCAATAAATATTCTGATTCTGTGTTGGTGTGGGTGGGTGGGAGTGAGCGAGTGGGTGAGTGAGTCGGTGAGCGAGTGAATTGATGGATGAGTACGTGGGTAGATCGGTGATGGAGTGGGTGGATGAGCTCGTGGATGGGTGGTTGGGTGAGAGATTGAGTGGGTGGATGTGTGGTTGAATGAGTCGGTGGATGAGTAAGAGAGTAAGTGGATGAGCGAGTATTTGGATACGTGAGTGGGTATGTAGATGGGTGAGTCACTGAGAGAGTAGGTAGATGAGTGAGTAGGTTGATATGTGGGTGGGTGAGTGAGTGGGTGAGTGAGTGGGTGAGTGAGGGAGTGGGTGAGTCAGTGGGTGGGTGAGTGAGTTTGTTGGCTTGAGTAGAGTCACAGTCGGTGTGGGTGAGTACGATTTGGCGCGGGTAGTTTGAATGAGCATATCGGAGCAGGTGTCTATGTGTAGGCCTCCGTGGAGCTCTGTACATATGTGGGCATGTGTATGTGCAGTGTGTGTATGGGGAGCGGTATTGTAGCGCTATGAAACCGACTACCCGAGTTCGATTCCTGCCCACGACCAACACCGGTGCCGATTAAATCAACCGGTGCTGGGTCTCCCGTGCGTCGACTCAGCCTCAAACGAGTGTCTGGTGCGATGTGCAAATATCGCCACTGGGGAGACAAAGGCGGCCGGGCGTGGTGTTAGCCTAGCCACCTCCTCGTGTGCCCTTCCGGCCTGCATAGGTGCTGCTTGCAAACAGCGCTTGCCCCCAACAGCCTGCCGGGGCTACACGGGGGAGCTTTGTCTTTGTGCGTGCGTTGGGGGTCGGCTCGGGTGGCCGGGAGCGGCGGGGCCGAGAGAAGCCAACTCAGGGGTTTTATTTAAAACACGGGGCCACTGCACTGTACAGGATCGCCTTCCTCTCCCTCCCTCGCTCCCTCCAGCCCAGCTCTCTCCAACTCCCTTCTTTTTTTTACGATCAGAGGCAACAAGAAGATCCTCGGTGTAGTCGGCACTTTGCTTCGTTCATCATTTCGGTTTTTTTATGCTTTGCTTTATGTAAACCCCCCACCCCTTTTTAAATGAAAGATTTCACAAAACTCCCTTCTGTTCAGCTCTTCTCCCTCTCTCCAGCTCAATCTCCCTCCAGCTCCCCTCTCTCCAGGCAGCTCAATCTCTCCAGCGCCCTTCTCACCCATCCCTATCTACCTCCAGCTCCCCTCTCTCCCCTCCCACTCTGAAACTTCCTTCTTCCCAGCTCTCCTCTTGTCCCTCCCTCTCTCCCTCCAGCTCCCCTGTATGTATGCTCAACTTCTTTCGCGCCGTACTTAGCCAAACGCGCTAATCGGAGGTGCGGGGGAAGGGCAACAAACTAAACGCAAAAAGAAATGAGTTTGTCGATCGAGATTGTGTTAAAGTGCATAGCTCCGGTGGCTTCCTAATATCGGTGCGATGCGGCGACCGTCTGTCTGTCTATGTTCGATGACTGGTCGCCAAAAGCTGCTGCTGCGAGAATGACCGGAATTCGCGTGAATCAGCTCCGTCTCTCCAGCTCCACCCCCTTCTCACTCTCTCCCTGAAGCTCCAAACTCTCCCTCCTCACTCTCTCCCTGAAGCTCCACTCTCTCCCTCCTCACTCTCTCCCTGCAGCTCCACTCTCTCCAGCTCCACCCCCTCCTCACTCTCTCCCTGAAGCTCCACTCTCTCCCTCCTCACTCTCTCCCTGAAGCTCCACTCTCTCCCTCCTCACTCTCTCCCTGAAGCTCCAATCTCTCCCTCCTCACTCTCTCCCTGAAGCTCCAATCTCTCCCTCCTCACTCTCTCCCTGAAGCTCCACTCTCTCCCTCCTCACTCTCTCCCTGCAGCTCCACTCTCTCCAGCTCCACCCCCTTCTCACTCTCTCCCTGGAGCTCCACTCTCTCCAGCTCCACCCCCTCCTCACTCTCTCCCTGAAGCTCCACTCTCTCCCTGAAGCTCCACTCTCTCCCTCCTCACTCTCTCCCTGCAGCTCCACTCTCTCCAGCTCCACCCCCTTCTCACTCTCTCCCTGGAGCTCCACTCTCTCCAGCTCCACCCCCTCCTCACTCTCTCCCTGAAGCTCCACTCTCTCCCTGAAGCTCCAATCTCTGCCCTCCCTATCTCCCCTCCAGCTCGCTCTCTTCCCTCTCCACTGCCCGTATCTCCTTCTCTCTCTCTCCGTCCCTCTGCCTCTCTGTGTAAGTTCAAGCACGCGCCTCTTCAGACTTTGTGCGCCCACTTTTCAACGTTTTGTTCCAAGTCCTTTGCCAGCAGCTCCCCTCGTTTCTGAACGCTGTCAATACGCACCGATTGAAAACTCTCATCGTCCTCCTCTTCACGTCCGCCTCTTCATTTCCTAAGGGATAACAAATATATACTATCATTTTTCCGGTTACCATCGACTGACCTTCACCCGGGACTCTAACCGTGACTCACGTGTTTCGCATTGGTGCCGAACATGCGGTGAGCAGCTAGCTAGTTTGAACATTGGGTGAGCGAGTGAATTAGATACCACACGCAGCTTAAAGGCATCATAGCGCACTGTCAAGAAATGTAATTATAGATCTCTTTCACACAACTCCATCTCTCCACATTGAAATATAAACGCACAGTACATGTATTTGTTTTCACATGCCCATCAGCCCCGCGGCATTGTGGGAGTTGCGTCATTTCAGCTGCAGTGATTCAACACAAGCAAAACTCTTTGGGCCGGTTTCGACACGCAGCGCCTCTTCAGCAGAGTCGGGGCTTTGCTCGTGAGCGAGTTCATCTGCTGGTGAACTGCCGATCTCAGTGGCAAGCCCACCCCTCCCCCCGTCTCCCGCTATCATCACAGGAGTGTCAGCAACCAAAATAACAACAAAGGGGAAACTTTTTATTGCTCGAATTCGGTAAACAAAAAAACACCTCCACAACATCTCAAGAGCCGCCAATGCACAGCGTGGGGAATGCTCATCGTGCTCATACTGCTCATCGTGCTCACACTGCTCACACTGTTCATCGTGCTCATCGTGCTCACACTGCTCACACTGCTCATCGTGCTCACACTGCTCACACTGCTCATCGTGCTCACACTGCTCACTGTGCTCACACTGCTCACACTGCTCACTGTGCTCACACTGCTCACACTGCTCATACTGCTCACACTGCTCATCGTGCTCACACTGCTCACACTGCTCATCGTGCTCACACTGCTCATACTGCTCATACTGCTCATCCTGCTCACACTGCTCACACTGCTCATACTGCTCACACTGCTCATCGTGCTCACACTGCTCATACTGCTCATACTGCTCATCCTGCTCACACTGTTCATCTTGCTCACACTGCTCATACTGCTCATACTGCTCATCCTGCTCACACTGCTCATCGTGCTCATACTGCTCACACTGCTCATCGTGCTCACACTGCTCACACTGCTCATCGTGCTCATCCTGCTCACACTGTTCATCGTGCTCACACTGCTCACACTGCTCATCGTGCTCACACTGCTCACACTGCTCATCGTGCTCATCCTGCTCACACTGTTCATCGTGCTCACACTGCTCACACTGCTCATCGTGCTCACACTGCTCACACTGCTCATCGTGCTCACACTGTTCATCTTGCTCACACTGCTCACACTGCTCATACTGCTCATCGTGCTCATCTTGCTCATCGTGCTCACACTGCTCACACTGCTCGTGCTCACACTGCTCATCTTGCTTATACTGCTCATCGTGCTCATCTTACTCACACTGCTCATACTGCTCATACTGCTCTTCCTGCGTTCTTCACTGCAAGGCCCACGGGCAACAATACACAGCACGTGACAACACCCCCCAATCATCATCATCATCGTGCTGCTGTAAAACCCAACAATGGTTTGAAATGTGTGGCGGCTCCTCACACACACTGATGATGTCTTATCGGCGAAAGTGGGTGACCACCCTGGTGACCACTCCCTAACCCGGCGTGGTTAGGGTGGTGACCACCCTGGTGACCACTCCCTAACCCGGCGTGGTTAGGGTGGTGACCACCTTGGCGACCACTCCCCAACCACGTCGCATGTAACGTTGTGACCCCGTGCCCCTGTTGGACATCTGTGAAAAAGAGCTTCATAGCTCATCGGATTCCTCCACTATGAATAAATATTCTGACGAGGGTCGTGAGAGGTGACGACGGTTGGCTTGCGGGGGGGGGGGGGGGGGGCAGGGCAGGACGCCTTCATCCAGCAGTGGATTTATCACTGCTGATCATGATCGAGGTCCACATGCGAAGACAGGGCGCTGCATCCATACAAATCACTGCGACAAAGCTGAACCTGTAGTAATAATTAATAATAGCACGACTTCTAACGAGTGATATATATATATTTATATGCTCATATGAACACTGCATTATTTATAAACGCGCGGCTTTAGGAACGCGTAGGCAGAGGCCCAACGTCACACGCGCCCCGTAGGGAAAGTTCCCGGGGATTTGAAATCGCTTCTCAAGTCTCACCCCTTCCTCGTCCTCCTCCTCCTCATCCTCGCCTTGCGATTCATCAACTCCCTGGCGTCTCGCGCCCCTATTCGGATATCTCTTAAGTCTCACGCATTCAGGCGTGTGATCTCCAGAGTCTCAAGAAACGTTCTTCATTGCAATGCCCCTGGGTGGCCTTTAGCGCAGCTCCCGACAATACAAAGCACGGGACAACACCCCCCCCCCCCCCCCCCCATCGTCGTCATCATCATCGTCGTCATCGTGCTATATCTATGGGACATTTTTTTCCCAGTTTAAAACTAATGAAACATTAAAAATATGTTTTCACCCTTCCTGGCAATAAAACAGGAGCCGTTAAGATGATCAAACGCCGCAAATTGCTGCCTTGTGCAAGGCACCAGGTCTGCGTTAACCGCACGCGGTGCTTGTGGCAAAACGTGCAAACAAACGTGCTCTGAGAATATAATATTCGCGTTGTCTTTGAAACGGATTGGCCTCCACCATCGTGCTGCTGTCAAACCCAACAATTGTTTCAAATGTGTGGCGGCCCCTCACACACCTCGCACACACTTGTGATGTCTTAACGGCGACAATTAGTGAGCGGAACACTGCTGTCCGAGTCTCACGCATTCAGGCGTGAGACCTCTTCAGAGTCCAGAGTCTCACGCGTGAACCAGGCCACGTGTCGCCCGAGTCACGTGTTCCACGGCGCACGCGCCCGGTTGATGAACCCCCACGACATCAAAACACTTTCGAGGTCGGGTCTCGGCTGCGCGACAGCTGAGCGACCTCAAGATGAGAATATTGATTTATACTGGGGGGATTCGATGAGTTCAGAAGCCCTCTTTCACAGATCTCGTGGGGGAGGGGGGGGGTCAGAAGGTTACAACAACAATAAATACAAAGAGACACAATAGGAGCACAAAGCAGACGAAGCTTAAGAAAATCACCTGGCAGGAGGAAGGGGGCGACGGCGCGGCACGTGGTGGCATAAAGGGGGAGTGGCAGCGATGCCCTACCCACTGACCTTAACCCACCGACCCACTGACCTTGACCCACTGAACATGTCACACTGACCTGATGACCTTGACCCATCGACCCACTAACCTTGACCCATCGACCCACTGACCTTGACGCACCGACTCATCGGCCTTGGCCCACCGACCCATCGGCCTTGACCCACTGGCCCACTGCCCTTGACCCACTGACCCACTGCCTTTGACCCACCGACCTTGACCCACTGACCCATCGGCCTTGGCCCACTGACCCATATAACTTGACCCACTGACCCATCGGCCTTGGCCCACTGACCCATAGAACTTGACCCACTGATCCACCGACCTTGACCCACTGACCCACTGACCTTGACCCCGGTGTGTGCAGGCCGGGTTGCTGCTCGCGGCCACGGCGGGGCTGGAGGAGGAGGCGCACAGCGAGGGCCGTCAGCGCCGGGCGATCTTCGCCTCCGAGATGTTCGTCTCGGAGAACCAGAGGCCGCCTTTCCCAAGGCGAATCGGCACGGTGAGGTCTCACAACAACAACAACAGCCACAGCCACAACAAACACCACAACAACAACAACAACCAGAACAACAAACACCACAGCCACAACAACAGCCACAATAAACACCACAACAACCAGAACAACAAACCCACAGCCACAACAACAGCCACAATAAACACCACAACAACCAGAACAACAAACACCACAGCCACAACAACAGCCACAACAAACACCACAGCCACAACAACAACCAGAACAACAAACACCACAGCCACAACAACAACCAGAACAACAAACACCACAGCCACAACAACAGCCACAACAAACACCACAACAACAACAACCAGAACAACAAACACCACAGCCACAACAACAACAACAACCAGAACAACAAACACCACAGCCACAACAACAACAACAACCAGAACAACAAACACCACAGCCACAACAACAGCCACAACAAACACCACAACAACCAGAACAACAAACACCACAGCCACAACAACAGCCACAACAAACACCACAACAACAACAACAACCAGAACAACAAACACCACAGCCACAACAAACACCACAACAAACACCACAACAACCAGAACAACAAACACCACAGCCACAACAGCAGCCACAATAAACACCACAACAACCAGAACAACAAACACCACAGCCATAACAACAACCACAATAAACACCACAACAACCAGAACAAACCCACAGCCACAACAACAGCCACAATAAACACCACAACAACCAGAACAACAAACACCACAGCCACAACAACAGCCACAACAAACACCACCACAACAACAACAACCAGAACAACAAACACCACAGCCACAACAACAGCCACAATAAACACCACAACAACCAGAACAACAAACACCACAGCCACAACAACAGCCACAATAAACACCACAACAACCAGAACAACAAACCCACAGCCACAACAACAGCCACAATAAACACCACAACAACCAGAACAACAAACACCACAGCCACAACAACAGCCACAATAAACACCACAACAACCAGAACAAACACCACAGCCACAACAACAGCCACAATAAACACCACAACAACCAGAACAACAAACACCACAGCCACAACAACAGCCACAACAAACACCACCACAACAACAACAACCAGAACAACAAACACCACAGCCACAACAACAGCCACAATAAACACCACAACAACCAGAACAACAAACACCACAGCCACAACAACAGCCACAATAAACACCACAACAACCAGAACAACAAACCCACAGCCACAACAACAGCCACAATAAACACCACAACAACCAGAACAACAAACACCACAGCCACAACAACAGCCACAATAAACACCACAACAACCAGAACAAACACCACAGCCACAACAACAGCCACAATAAACACCACAACAACCAGAACATCAAACCCACAGCCACAACAACAGACACAATAAACACCACAACAACCAGAACAACAAACACCACAGCCACAACAACAGCCACAACAAACACCACAACAACAACCAGAACAACAAACGCCACAGCCACAACAACAGCCACAATAAACACCACAACAACAACAACCAGAACAACAAACACCACAGCCACAACAACAGCCACAATAAACACCACAACAACCAGAACAACAAACACCACAGCCACAACAACAGCCACAATAAACACCACAACAACCAGGACAACAAACACCACAGCCACAACGACCACAGCAACCAGAACAAGAAACATCACAGTCACAACCACTGCCACAACCACAACAAACACTACAGTAACAAGACAAAGATCCCCCGTATAGCCTTAATAGACTGTTGGGGCAAGTGCTGTTAGCGAGCACCTTTGAAGGCCGGCACGGCACACGAGGGGGTGGGTGGCTAAAACAACACCTGACCGCCTTTGTCTTCCCAGTGGCCATGTTTACACACCGCACCAGATACTAATTTGAGGCTGAGTCGACCTAGGGGAGGCCCAGAACAGGTTCCGATAACCATCGCCGGTGTTGGCCGTGAGCGGGAATCGAACTCGGGTTGCCGGGTTCATAGCGCAGCGCGCTAACCGCTACACTACTGCTTCCCAGAATAAAAAATACCACAACCACAACAACCAGAACAACAAACACCACAGCCACAACAACCAGAACAACAACCAGCAGGAACAACCAGAACGGGCACGCCCGTCTGGACAACAACCAGCACATGAACAACCAACCAACAACAACCACCACAACTACCACCACTGTCTACACCACCACCACAACTACCACCGCTGTCTCCATCACCACCACAACTACCACCACTGTCTCCACCACCACAACTACCACCACTGTCTCCACCACCACCACAACTACCACCACTGTCTCCACCCCCACCACAACTACCACCACTGTCTCCACCCCCACCACAACTACCACCACTGTCTCCACCACCACCACAACTACCACCACTGTCTCCACCACCACCACAACTACCACCACTGTCTCCACCACCACAACTACCACCACTGTCTCCACCAACAACTACCACCACTGTCTCCACCACCACAACTACCACCACCATCTCCACCACCACCACAACTACCACCACTGTCTCCACCCCCACCACCACCACCACAACTACCACCACTGCCTCCACCACCACAACTACCACCACCATCTCCACCACCACCACAACTACCACCACTGTCTCCACCCCCACCACCACCACTGTCTCCACCACCACCACAACTACCACCACTGTCTCCACCACCACCAGAACTACCACCACTGTCTCCACCACCACCACAACTACCACCACTGTCTCCACCACCACCACAACTACCACCACTATCTCCACCACCACCACCACAACTACCACCACTGTCTCCACCACCACCACTGTCTCCACCACAACCACCACCACTGTCTCCACCTCCACCACAACTACCACCACTGTCTCCACCACCACCACCACAACTACCACCACTGTCTCCACCCCCACCACAACTCCCACCACTGTCTCCACCACCACCACCACCACAACTACCACCACTGTCTCCACCCCCACCACAACTACCACCACTGTCTCCACCCCCACCACAACTACCACCACTGTCTCCACCACAACTACCACCACTGTCTCCACCACCACCACAACTACCACCACTGCCTCCACCACAACTACCACCACTGTCTCCGGTGGTGGTAGTTATGATGATGTCAATGGTGATTATAATGATGATGTCCATGATGATGATGTCGCTGATGATGATGTCGATGATGATGATGTCGATGATGATGACTATGATGATGATGATGATGTCGCTGATGATATCGATGATGATGACGATGATGACAATGATGATGATGTTATCGATGATGATGATGATGATGTCGATGATGATGATGTCGCTGATGATGATATCGATGATGATGTCGATGATGATGATGTCGATGATGATGATGACGATGATGTCGATGATGATGATGATGATGATGTCGATGATGATGATGTCGATGATGATGATGATGTCGCTGATGATGATATTGATGATGATGATGATGTCGATGATGATGACGATGATGATGATGTCGCTGATGATGATATCGATGATGATGTCGGTGATGATGATGATGTCGATGATGATGATGACGATGATGATGTCGATGATGATGATGTTGATGATGATGTCGATGATGATGATATCGATGATGATGATGATATCGATGATGATGATGTCGATGATGATGATGTGTAGGTGGGCCGCATCAGCGCGGGCGACGAGGACGCTCGCTTCGCGCTGTCGGGTCCCGGCGCGGATGAGGAGCCGAAGAATCTGTTCGTGATCGACCCTCGCACGGGCGAGGTGTTCGTCACGGGGTCCCTGGACCGCGAGGAGGAGTCCTCCTACCAGGTGAGTCCCCACCACCACCCCCTGCCCCTGGACCCAAACCCCCCTCCACCTCTTGAAGGAGCACCACGCAACCTCCGGTAATCATCGCAGCAGCAGCAGCAGCAGCGGCTAACAACGAAGACGGTGGTCACCGCATCGCGCGCTTTCAGATGCGGCTGTCTGGAACGCGCTTTCCTTCCGATATCAGGAAGGCACTGGAGCTATGGCACTTTTAAATAATCAGATTGACAAAACCATTTCTTTGAAGCTGATTTTTTTGTGTTCAGTTCGTTGCCCGCCCTCCGCACCTCCGATTAGCGCGGTGGGCTACGTACGGTGCGAAAGAAGTTCAACACACACACATACAGACACCCACAGACGTAACCCCCTCCAAACACCGCCAGCCAATGACTGTGCCGTATTCTCCGGAGTATAAGACCGCTCCCGAAAGTTAGACGCGTCCATAAACTCGTGCCCCGCGTCAATAAAGTTAAAGTTACACACACACACCTGTTTTCTCTCTCTTTGACACACACACACCGGATTATAAGATGCACCCCCAACATTTCGTTTCAAACACATGGGATGGAAGTGCGTATTCTAATCCGGAGAATGCAGTAATAGGTGCTCGCTGAACAGCAGTTGAAAAGTGAGATATTTGTGGTAGCGTATGTGCGGGTAGGGTTAGATTCGCGTGCGTGTGTGTCTGTATATGGACGTGTGTGTGCATGTGAGCGGTAGTGTAGCGAACCCGGTGACCCGAGTTCGATTCCCGCTCGCGGCCAACACCAGTGACGATTATTTGAACCGGTCCTGGGCCCTCCCCTAGGTCAACTCAGCCTCAAACATCGCCACTGTGGAGACAAAGGCGGCCGGGCGTGGTGCTGGCCACTCACCCACTCGTGTGCCGTGCCGGCCTTCATAGGTGCTACTCGCTAACAGCACTTGCCCCAACAGTCTGTTAAGGCTACACGGCGGCCCTTTGTTTTGTGTGTGTGTGTGATGTTAGCCGGGGGGTCGCTAATGGAACTTCTGGCCGCCGTGTTCGTAGTCGCAGTGGGCGAACCCACTGAGACCACCGCTCCGAGCACCCGGCGATTCGTGTCCACACGTCCCCTGCGTCTAGGATCGTAGCCCCAATACAACTGCGTACCCGTGGCACACGTACGGCGAAGGGGACTGATAGAGTCAGAGATGTTCCATGCTGTGGGAAACCTGAAGACGAGTGGCGAAGGGGAAATATGTCTCCAAGACGGACAGAGAGGATTGCCGCGGCTCAGGATGAGCAGCATGGCGGAGGAGGGAGAGTACGGAATGAGCGATCCGGGATGTTGGGGGATGAGAGGGTGGTGGTGACGATGGTGATGATGGTGACGATGGTGATGATGGTGGTGGAGAGCGGAGGGAAGAGAGGGAGAAGAGAGAAGGGATGGGCGTGGCAGAGGTGAGCTGCAGGGAGAAGCGGCGGCTGTTTTCACAGCGGGCGGCATCAGGGAGATGGGAGGATGGATTCAGAGTGGGGGGTGTGTGGGGGTGGGGGGGCAGAGCAGCAGTCACGTGGTGTACGGCAGGCTTGAGCTGGTGGTTTAGAGCAGTGGTTCTCAACCTTGTCTCGGATACTCTCTGTACCCCCCTTGTTGAACTGTGTTTCCATCGAGTGCCCCCCCCCCCTTGCTTAACTCAACAAGGTTCTGAGAAATAAATGTATGACAATGGAGAACGATGTTTTCACCAAATTTTCCATTTTGTGAGGGAATCCCTGACTAGCTAAGCAACTGCGAGCGAATAACACGAAAAATCAACGGACGCTCTTCATGTGTCGCGTAATTTGTTCACGCTCGCTGGTCACTCTTGGAAACCGCCAACATCGTTGACGGTCAGTGAGTTTATGAAGGTCGTTTAAATCGTTCTAGGTTACCACGTGGATTTAACTGTGTTCGTAGTTATTTTATGTTGGCAGATTCACGCGCGATTATTCGCCAATGACTCTCAGGTACGATATAATTTCTCACATTCATACATGACCTCACGTACCCCCCTGGGACATTGCCACGTACCCCCAGGGGTCCGCGTATCCCCTGGTTGAGAACCACTAGCTTAGAGAGATCGATGTTCACTAACAAGCGGTGAGTTAGAGAGATCGATGGTCACTAACTAGTGGTGGGTTAGAGAGATCGATGATCACTAACGAGTGGTGGGTTAGAGAAATCGATGATCACTAACTAGTGGTGGGTTAGAGAGATCGATGATCACTAACTAGTGGTGGGTTAGAGAGATCGATGATCACTAACTAGTGGTGGGTTAGAGAGATCGATGATCACTAACGAGTGGTGGGTTAGAGAGATCGATGATCACTAATGATCAGTGGGTTAGAGAGATCGATGATCACTAATGAGCAGTGGGTTAGGGAGATCGATGATCACTAATGAGTGGTGGGTTAGAGAGATCGATGGTCACTAACTAGTGGTGGGTTAGAGAGATCGATGTTCGCTAACGAGTGGTGGGTTAGAGAGATCGATGATCACTAACGAGTGGTGGGTTAGAGAGATCGATGATCACTAACGAGTGGTGGGTTAGAGAGATCGATGATCACTAATAAGTGGTGGGTTAGAGAGATCGATGTTCGCTAACGAGTGGTGGGTTAGAGAGATCGATGATCACTAATGATCAGTGGGTTAGAGAGATCGATGATCACTAATGAGCAGTGGGTTAGGGAGATCGATGATCACTAATGAGTGGTGGGTTAGAGAGATCGATGGTCACTAACTAGTGGTGGGTTAGAGAGATCGATGATCACTAACGAGTGGTGGGTTAGAGAGATCGATGATCACTAATGAGTGGTGGATTAGAGAGATCGATGATCACTAACGAGTGGTGGGTTAGAGAGATCGATGATCACTAACGAGTGGTGGGTTAGAGAGATCGATGATCACTAATAAGTGGTGGGTTAGAGAGATCGATGTTCGCTAACGAGTGGTGGGTTAGAGAGATCGATGATCACTAACGAGTGGTGGGTTAGAGAGATCGATGATCACTAACGAGTGGTGGGTTAGAGAGATCGATGATCACTAATAAGTGGTGGGTTAGAGAGATCGATGTTCGCTAACGAGTGGTGGATTAGTTCAGGGGTCCCCAATCCGCTGGCTGCAGACCAGTACCGGTCCGTGGCCTGTTAGGAACCGGGCCGCACAGCAAGAGGTGAGGGCGGTGAGTCCGCGCGTGGCCCGCCCCATTATTTTATTATTTACCACTTCCCTCCGCGCCTCTTTCCCGCACTGTGCACTTGTCTCAGTCACAGTGTTGGTAAGCCCACAAGCTAACCCCTAGTAGCCAAAATTAGTACAAAAAACGTCGCTGGAAAGCTTCTTTGAAAAGGGGGAAAGACCCAATGATGACCCCCCCCCCCGGTCCGTGAAAAAACTTGTCTTCCACAAACCGGTCCCTGGTGCCAAAAAGGTTGGGGACCGCTGGGTTACAGAGATCGGCGCTGGCTAACGAGCGGTGGCTTAGAGAGATCGGTGTTTGTGCCGTGCGTCTCCAGCTGAGCGTGACGGCTCTGAACGAGCTGGACAATCGCGTGGAGCTGCCGGTGCCCCTGGACGTGTTCGTGATCGACCAGAACGACAACCGGCCCGTGTTCCTCCACGAGCCATACGTGGGACGACTCTACGAGCACGCGCCGCGAGGTGCGTGCACCGGGGGTTGGGCGCGAGGGAGGACAACGGGGTGAGCGCGACGGTGGACACCAGGGTGGGCACGAGGGTAGACAGCAGCGGTGGACGCGAGGTTGGGCACTAAGGATTGTCACTAAAGTGAACACGAGGGTGCACACCCAGGTGGACATCAGGGTGGACACGAGGTTAGATACCAGGATGGACGCCAGGGTGGTCATCAGGGTGGGCACGAGGGTGGACACCAGGGTGTACACGAGGTTAGATACCAGGGTGGACACCAGGGTGAACATCAGGGTGGACACGAGGTTGGATACCAGGGTGGACACCAGGGTGGACATCAGAGTGGACACGAGGTTGGACACCAGGGTGGACACCAGAGTGGACACCAGGGTGGAGACGAGGTTGGACACCAAGGTGGACACCAGAGTGGACACCAGGGTGGACACGGGGTTGGATACCAAGGCGGACACGAGGTTGGACACCGCGATGAGCATCAGGGTGGACACGAGGTTGGACGCTAGGGTGGACACGCACATGTCCATGAACATTGACACAGTGGTCCGCCCAATAGCATGAATCTTACCTGAACAGTGATGCATCGTCCACCTTGCATGAACGTAAACTCTTAACCTGACCACAACAACGACATTGATCATATCCCTGACCCTAACATCCTCACCTGACCCCCCTGCTGCGACCCCCCCACCCCCCCAGGATCCCCTGTGATGCACGTGACCGCGACCGACGCGGATGACCCCGACACGGACAACGGGGTCCTGTACTACCGCCTTGAGGTCGCGCCCAGCGATCCCGAGCCCGCGCTCAGCTTCGACATCGACCCCTACTCCGGCACCATTGTCACCGCCAGCGACCCCGCGCTCATCGACCACGAGGTGAGAGAGGGTCCCGGGAGGGGTCAGGGTAGACAAGGTGAGAGGGGCCGAGCGAGAGAGGGTCACGGGGAGGTCAGGGTAGACAGAGATGTACAGGGAAAAGGTGCAGCCCTGCAAGTGCTAACTAACCTCACCACTAACCTCACCACTAACCCTCACCACTAATATCACCACTAATCTAGCCAATTGCCCATGTGACACGGTTGTTTTTCACATGATTTCTATTTACTTTTGTGGTTAACTTCATTGATTTATTTTGGTCATTTTGGCGATGCTTGCAAATTAAACTCATCCTGGTCATTTGAGCTCTTACCTGGTTTCACAAACTCAACTTGAACTTGCCTTAATCTTGTACCGTTGGGGAGTATGCATTTATGTATGTGCACTCTGTTCTCCTATAACGCCGTGTGTGTTTTCATTACGCAAATTGGATATAACGCGGTTAATGTATTAAGGAACACATTTTTACAACGCAGATGCGAATTGAATATAACGCGATTGAGTGTGAACAGAACTATGCCGCGGGAGCAGTAATAAGCGGTCGTACGGCTGCCTCTGCGTAGCATCGCACAAGGCGTTGGGATGCTGCTGGATGCTTCTCGACGCTACCCACGCGCCTGAGGCTTTGTTCAGCCTGCGTACCCATCTCACGTGTTATAGCGGACTGTGCTTTGACCATACTTTATATATTGTTTCATTATAACGCGATTATTCCATAACGCGGTGTTCTTCAGGATCGCAACTACCGCGTTATAGGAGAACAGACTGTACATTGAATTTCTTTCGCACCGTACGTAGCCAACCGTGCCAATCGGAGGTGTGAAAATCGAGAGGCGAAGGTTGGTAGATCCCATGAGTGTTGTGAAACTTCCTTCCCATCCAGAGGCGTCGAGGAGCAGCCGCACCCTCGCTCGTAGGAGAGGCCGGTACGGCAAAGTGCGGACTAATCTCCATCTGTTTCCATCTGTACGGGGGGATGGATTGCGTTGCCCGCTCATGTGTGTGGGGTTTTCTCCCACTTGTATAAACTCCGACATTTGCTGAAAATATCTTATGGAAAATAACCCCGCCAAATGTAGCAGAACCCTCCTAAATAAGAGCCATTGGACTCAGTGTGGTGGCTTTCGCGGATAAAGGAGTCGTGACTATAGCGGTTATTATCATAAAGTTGGCCATGGCCGAGAAACGATCTCGGATCGCCATATTCGTAGCGCCGGGCGCTAACCACGGCACCACCGCTGAAGGTGACAGACCAGGGATCAGCAAACTGAATAATAAATAAAAAGAGCCATTTTTATTCGAATTGGGTAAAGAAAAAACAGCTCAATATATGTCAAGATCCGCAAGGCAATGTGAATACGAGACGGCGGTCCTCAATAAATAACGTGTCATGCGAAGCCGTTCCTCAAAGAGTCACCGCACGCGGCTCCGGAGCCGCGGGTTGCCGACCCCTGCCCCAGACTCACCTCCGGGTAGCACGGTTGGCTACGTACGGTGCGAAAGAAGTTCAACAAACACTCCACTCCGTCCCTCTCCACTGCCCCCCACCCCCCCATCCACATCCACACCATGCTCCGGCCGCTGCAGGTGCTGAAGGAGCGCCATTTCGAGGTGGTGGTGCACGTGTCGGACATGGCCGAGACGGACGCCGGCCTCTCTAGCTCGGTGACGGCTACCATCATCCTGCAGGACGTCAACGACTTCCCCCCCACCTTCGAGAAGACCGAGGTACGGGGGGGGGTGGTGGTGGAGGGCCGGGGGGGTGGGGGAAGGCGGGGGTATGGATCCAGGACTCAGACTTTCTTATATCAGCCGGCAAAGGCTCCCACATTGAGCTGAGCCGTCCGTTACGAGGACGGCCACCTACAGACCCATAGAGTTACAGAGAGATAGCCCATTGAGTTACAGAGAGATGGTCCATAGAGTTACAGAGAGATGGTCCATAGAGTTACAGAGAGATGGTTCATAGAGTTACAGAGAGATGGTCCATAGAGTTACATAGAGATAATCCATAGAGATACATAGAGATGATCCATAGACATACAGAGAGATGATCCATAGAGTTACAGAGAGATAATCCATAGAGTTACAGAGAGATTATCCATCGAGTTACATAGAGATAATCCATAGAGATACAGAGATATAATCCATAGAGATACAGAGAGATGATCCATAGAGTTACAGAGAGATGATCCATAGAGTTACAGAGAGATGGTCCATAGAGTTACAGAGAGATGGTCCATAGAGTTACAGAGAGATGGTCCATAGAGTTACAGAGAGATGGTCCATAGAGTTACATAGAGATAATCCATAGATATACAGAGAGATGATCCATAGAGTTACAGAGAGATGATCCATCGAGTTACATAGAGACCCATAGAGTTACAGAGAGATGGTCCATAGAGTTACAGAGAGATAGTCCATAGAGTTACAGAGAGATGGTCCATAGAGTTACATAGAGATAATCCATAAAGATACATAGAGATAATCCATAGAGATACAGAATGATGATCCATAGAGTTGCAGAGAGATGATCCATAGAGTTACAGAGAGATGGTCCATAGAGTTACATAGAGATAATCCATAGAGATACATAGAGATAATCCATAGAGTTACAGAGAGATGACCCATAGAGTTACAGAGAGATGATCCATCGAGTTACATAGAGACCCATAGAGTTACAGAGAGATGATCCATAGAGTTACAGAGAGATGGTCCATAGAGTTACAGAGAGATGGTCCATAGAGTTACATAGAGATAATCCATAGAGTTACAGAGAGATGATCCATCGAGTTACATAGAGACCCATAGAGTTACAGAGAGATGGTCCATAGAGTTACAGAGAGATGGTCCATAGAGTTACAGAGAGATGGTCCATAGAGTTACATAGAGATAATCCATAGAGATACAGAGAGATGACCCATAGAGATACAGAGAGATGATTCATAGAGTTACAGAGAGATGGTCCATAGAGTTACAGAGAGAAGGTCCATAGAGTTACAGAGAGATGATCCATCGAGTTACATAGAGACCCATAGAGTTACAGAGAGATGGTCCACAGAGTTACAGAGAGATGGTCCATAGAGTTACATAGAGACCCATTGGGCACAGCCCAAGACCATCGGCAGTGGCGGCAGTCACATGACCTTGCAGGATGGAGGCAGCGTGCCAACTGACAAGGATCAACATTGACAACTTCTTTACACGAATCCCATGGCAGGGGAGAAAAGGCAGAACCTAAAACTGTATCTGATCCAGTCCTGGGCCTCACGTAGGTCGACTTAACCTGAAATGAGTACCTGGTACGGTGTGTAGTAAACATCGTTATTGTGGAAACAAAGGCGGCCGGGCGTGGTGCTGGCCACCCACCCTCTCGTTCGCCGTTCCGGCTTTCATAGGTGCTCGCTAACAGCACTTGCCCCTACAGTCTGTTAAGGCTATAGGGCGATAATTGTCCTTGTGTACGTGTGTGTGTCTGTATGTGTGTGTGTACGTGTGTGGGTGTGCGTCTGCCCTATATGACTTGATAACAACAGTCTGGACCACTGGACGGGTTCCGCAGGATTGGAAGGATGCCCTGGTGGTCCCCCTCTTTAAGAAGGGGGACCGCACAGACTGTAACAACTCCAGGGGCATCTCACTCCTAAGTGTGCCGGGAAAGGTCCTGGCAAGGATTATTCAACATCGCCTTGCCAGGCACGCTGAGGAGAGGCTTGCGGAGCCCCAATGCGGTTTCAGGAAAGGGTGGTCCTGCACAGATGCCATATTTTCTGTCCGTCTGCTACAGCAGAGGTGTAGGGAATTCCAGCAAGACCTACATCTCTGCTTTATTGACCTGGTCAAGGCCTATGATACCATCAGTAGGTCTGGGCTCTGGGTTGTTCTTCGTGCTTTTGGAGTACCTGACCCTCTGCTCACGATCATTAAGGACCTTCATGATGGTGAGTGGGCCCGGATAAAACTACGTGGCCGGGAGTCCGAGCCATTCCCTGTACACCTTGGGGTGCCACAGGGATGTCCTCTGGCTCCCACATTATTTAACATCTATTTTGATCACGTAGTTCGTGAAGCCTTCAATGGCTGTACCGGGGGAATCTCCATATGGTACAGATATAATGGGAGGCTGATCGATGCCCGGGTGCGGTCAAGGGATGGCTCCCTATTGCTCAACCACGTTATGTATACCGATGATTTGGTAATAGCTGCTCATTCAGAGGAGGAGTTGGAGACGCTGCTGCTGAGACTGGAGCGTGCCACTAAGAGATGGGAGCCTTACCATCAGCCCCACCAAAACTAAGCACCTGCCTGGGTATTTTGTACCATCGGACACTCCACCCCCACAACTCCCAATCGGTGATGGGGCAGTTGTAGAGAGAGTGGAGAGTTTCCCATACCTGGGCAGTGTGCTTATGACTGGCTCCAGTTTAACAGCAGAGGTCTCACTCCGAATCAGTCGAGCGGCAATATCTTTTCATCGGTTGCGTAACGCTGTGTGGAAGCTACCTGGTCTGTCGCTCCGCACTAATCTTCAGGTCTTCTCGGCCACGGTCATTCCCTCCCTTCTCTACGCTTGCGAAACGTGGACCCCCCTAATGGAACATCTTCGCCGGTTAGAAACATTTAGGCTGGCCTGCCTACGATCCATCCTGGGTTTAACCAGACTGGATTGTGTGAGGGGCTCACAAATCCTTGAAAGGTCTGGGCAAGGTCCCATCGGTGAGCTCCTCCGGCAGGCAAGGCTGCAATGGCTGAGTCATGTAGCCCGCATGCCCAGCCACCGCATGCCGAAACAGCTTTTGTTCGGCCGGATTGAGGGGGCTAAGCGGGCGCGGCACGGGCTAGAGAAGAGATGGAGTGATGTGGTACAGGAGAATGTGGAGCTGAGTGGACTTGCCGATGACTGGTACCAGCGGTGTCAAGATCGGCCTCTGTGGAGGAGGCTCGTGAAGGACGCTACTGGGCAGTTGGAGGCAGTCGCCCTCCAACAACAACGGAGGGTGGAGGAGCGACGCTCACATCAACGAGCGGAGCGCCGGGTCGCTAAAGCACAGCAGGTTGCCACAGTAGGGGGCACAGGTGGTGCATCAGCCAGTCATCTCAGTCAGTCGACCCGTGGCACCTGGGTCTGCCCCGTGACCTGCCAGCGGGCATTTGACACTTCACGTGGCCTCAGGGTGCACATAGCTTGGCACAAGCGTCGTAGTGACGTCACCGCCACTTAGTGGCGAATGGCGGTTGTTGTTGTCTGTATGTGTGTACGTGTGTGTGTGTCTCTGTGTCGAAGAGGAAGTGGCGAGTAGAGGCAGGAGGATGAAAACGATGGCGTGGTGTGGTTGGGGCGGTTATTGACGTGGTGGTGGTGGCGGCAGCATCGCTAGCGGTCACGACACCGGCCGCTGTACGACATTGCGAACCTACTTGCTGTACCCGCTGTACGACATTGCGAACCTACTTGCTGTACCCGCTGTGCGACATTCCGAACCTACTTGCTGTACCCGCTGTGCGACGTTGCTAACCTACTAGCTGTACCCGCCCGCCGCAGGTCGAGCTGACGGTCACCGAGAACTTCCATGGCTCGCTGCTCAACCTGAGCGTGATGGACGGCGACGTGGAGGGGGGCCCCAACTGGAGGGCCGTCTACTCCATCGTGTCCGGGGACCCCGACGGGCGATTCAACGTCACCACGGACCCCGTCAGCAACAGCGCACACCTCACCGTCACCGAGGTGAGTGGCCCGCACCCTCGACTCACCTCGACTCACCTTAGCTCACCTCGACTCACCTTAGCTCACCTCCACTCACCTTAACTTACCTCGACTCACCTTAACTCACCTCCACTCACCTTTACTCACCCTCGACACACCTTAACTCACCTCCACTCACCCTCGACTCAAGGTGTCGACTCGGATTCGCTCACCTAGACTCACCTCGCCTCACTCTCGACTCACCCTCGACTCACCTCAACTCACCCTCGACTCACCCTCGACTCACCTCGACTCACCTCCACTCACCTCGACTCACCTTAACTCACTCTCGACTCACCTTAACTCACCCTCGACTCACCTTAACTCACCCTCGACTCACCTCGACTCACCTTAACTCACCCTCGACTCACCTTAACTCACCCTCGACTCACCTCGACTCACCTTAACTCACCCTCGACTCACCTTAACTCACCCTCGACTCACCTTAACTCACCGTCGACTCACCTCGACTCACCTTAACTCACCCTCGACTCACCTTAACTCACCTTCGACTCATCTCGACTCACCTTAACTCACCTTGACGTACTCTAGACTTACTCGACTCACCCTCGACTCACCTCGACTCACCTCCACTCATGCTCGACTCACCTCGACTCACCTCGACTCACCTCGACTCACCTCCACTCACCCTCGACTCACCCTCGACTCACCTCGACTCACCTCGACTCACCTTAACTCACTCTCGACTCACCTTAACTCACCCTCGACTCACCTTAACTCACCCTCGACTCACCTCGACTCACCTTAACTCACTCTCGACTCACCTTAACTCACCCTCGACTCACCTTAACTCACCTTAACTCACTCTCGACTCACCTCGACTCACCTCGACTCACCTCGACTCACCTTAACTCACCCTCGACTCACCTTAACTCACCCTCGACTCACCTCGACTCACCTCGACTCACCTTAACTCACTCTCGACTCATCTCGACTCACCTCGACTCACTCTCGACTCACCTTAACTCACCCTCGACTCACCTTAACTCACTCTCGACTCACCTCGACTCACCTTAACTCACTCTCGACTCACCTCGACTCACCTCGACTCACCGCGACTCACCTCGACTCACTCTCGACTCACCTTAACTCACCCTCGACTCACCTCGACTGACCTCGACTCACCTTAACTCACTCTCGACTCATCTCGACTCACCTCGACTCACTCTCGACTCACCTTAACTCACCCTCGACTCACCTTAACTCACTCTCGACTCACCTCGACTCACCTCGACTCATCTCGACTCACCTCGACTCCCCTCGACTCACCTCGACTCACTCTCGACTCACCTTAACTCACCCTCGACTCACCTTAACTCACCCTCGACTCACCTTAACTCACTCTCGACTCACCCTCGACTCACTTCGACTCACCTTAACTCACTCTCGACTCACCTTAACTCACTCTCGACTCACCTTAACTCACTCTCGACTCACCCTCGACTCACCTCGACTCACCTTAGCTCACCTCGACTCACCTTAACTCACTCTCGACTCACCCTCGACTCACCCTCGACTCACCCTCGACTCACCTTAACTCACCCTCGACTCACCCTCGACTCACCCTCGACTCACCCTCGACTCACCTTAATTCACTCTCGACTCACCCTCGACTCACCCTCGACTCACTTCGACTCACCTTAACTCACTCTCGACTCACCCTCGACTCACTTCGACTCACCTTAACTCACCCTCGACTCACCTCGACTCACCCTCGACTCACCTTAACTCACTCTCGACTCACCCTCGACTCACCCTCGACTCACCTTAACTCACTCTCGACTCACCCTCGACTCACCCTCGACTCACCCCCGACTCACCCTCGACTCACCCTCGACTCACCTTAACTCACTCTCGACTCACCCTCGACTCACCCTCGACTCACCTTAACTCACTCTCGACTCACCCTCGACTCACCCTCGACTCACCTCGACTCACCTCCACTCACCTTAACTCACCCTCGACTCACCCTCGACTCACTGGTGTTGGTGGTGGCCGTGAGCGGGAATGGAACTCGCGTCGCCGAGTTCGTAGTGCAGCAGCGATAGCCACGACACTCCCCCACCCCACCCCACACCCCCTGCCTCACCCCGCGACAGCCTCTGGACTTCGAGCAGGCCGACTCGTACACGCTGGTGCTGCGCGTGGACAACGAGGAGCCCGTGGTGCCCGAGGCCCTGGCGGCCGCCACGGCCTCCGAGGCCACGGTCACGGTCCGCCTCGTGGACCAGAACGAGGCGCCGGCGTTCAGCGCGCTGGCCGCTCGCCTCGAGTGGCCCGAGAACGTCGCTGAGGGCACGCTGCTGCTCGACCTCCACGCCACCGACCCCGACATTCGACAGCCGCAGAGGGTCAGGTGAGGGCAGCCGCGGGCCCCGGTCCCTCGCCCTGCTGGGTTCTAGCCGGGTGGTTGGTTCTAGCCAGGTGATTGGGTCTAGGAGGGTGGTTGGTTCTAGCGAAGTGATTGGTTCTAGCCAGGAGGTTGGTTCTAGACAGGTGGTTGGTTCTAGCCGGGTGGTTGGTTCTAGCCGGGTGGTTGGTTCTAGCCAGGTGATTGGTTTTACCCAGGTGGTTGGTTCTAGCCAGGTGGTTGGTTCCAGTCGGGTGGTTGGTTCTAGCCAGGTGGTTGGTTCTAGACGGGTGGTTGGTTCTAGCCAGGTGATTGGTTCTACCCAGGTGGTTGGTTCTAGCCAGGTTATTGGTTCTAGACAGGTGGTTGGTTCTAGCCAGGTGGTTGGTTCTCGTCAGGTGGTTGGTTCTAGCCAGGTGGATGCTTCTAGCCAGGTGATTGGTTCTAGCCAGGTGGTTGGTTCTAGCCGGGTGGTTGGTTCTAGCCAGGTGGTTGGTTCTAGACGGGTGGTTGGTTCTAGCCAGGTGGTTGGTTCTGGCCGGGTGGTGGGCTCTAGCCAGGTGGTTGGTTCTAGCCGGGTGGTTTGATTCTAGCCAGGTGGTTGGTTCTTGCCGGGTGATTGGTTCTAGCCAAGTAGTTGGTTCTTCCCAGGTGATTGGTTCTAGCCAGGTGGTTGGTTCTTGCCGGGTAGTTGGTTCCAGCCAGGTGATTGGTTCTAGCCGAGTGGTGGGTTATAGCCAGTTGGTTGGATCTAGCCAGGTGGTTGGTTTTAGGTAGGTGGTTGGTTTTAGCCAGGTGGTTGGTTCTAGCCAGGGGATTGGTTCTTGCCAGGTGGTTGGTTCTAGCCAGGTGGTTGGTTCTAGCCGGATGGTTGGTTCTAGCCAGGTGGTTGGTTCTAGCCAGGTGGTTGGTTCTAGCCGGGTGGTTGGTTCTAGCCGGGTGGTTGGTTCTAGCCGGGTGGTTGGTGCTATCCGGTTGATTGGTTCTATCCAGGTGGTTGGTTCCAGCAAGGTGGTTGGTTCTATCCAGGTGGTTGGTTCTAGCCAGGTGGTTGGTTGTAGCCGGGTGGTTGGTTCTATCCACGTGGTTGGTTCTTGCCGGGTGATTGGTTCTATCCGGGTGTTTGGTTCTAGCCGGGTGGTTGGTTCTTGCCGGGTGAGTGGTTCTAGCCAGGTGGTTGGTTCTTGCCGGGTAGTTGGTTCCAGCCAGGTGATTGGTTCTAGCCGAGTGGTGGGTTATAGCCAGTTGGTTGGATCTAGCCAGGTGGTTGGTTTTAGCTAGGTGGTTGGTTCTAGCCGGGTGGTTGGTTCTAGCCAGGTGTTTGGTTCTAGCCAGATGATTCGTTCTAGCTGAGTGGTTGGTTATAACCAGGTGGTTGGTTCTAGCAGGGTGGTTGGTTCTAGCCAGGTGTTTGGATCTAGCAAGGTGGTTCGTTCTAGCCGGGTGGTTGGTTCTAGCCAGGTTGTTGGTTCTAGCCGGGTGGTTAGTTCTAGCCGGGTTGTGGGTTCTAGCCAGGTGTTTGTTTCTAGCCAGGGGATTGGTTCTAGCCGGGTGGTTGGTTCTAGCCAGGTGGTTGGTTCTAGCCAGGTGGTTGGTTCTTGCCAGGTGTTTGGTTCTAGCCAGGTGGTTGGTTCTAGCTGGGTGGTTGGTTCTTGCCAGGTGGTTGGTTCTCGCCAGGTGGTTGGTTCTAGCCGGGTGGTTGGTTCTAGCCAGGTGGTTGGTTCTAGTCAGGTGGTTGGTTCTAGCCACCTGGTTGTTTCTAGCCAGGTGGTTGGTTCTATCCAGGTGGTTGGTTCTTGCTGGGTGATTGGTTCTAGCCAAGTGGTTGGTTCTTGCCGGTTGATTGGTTCTAGCCAGGTGGTTGGTTATTGCCGGGTAGTTGGTTCCAGCCAGGTGATTGGTTCTAGCCGAGGGGTGGGTTATAGCCAGTCTGGTTGGTTCTAGCCAGGTGGTTGGTTTTAGGCAGGTGGTTGGTTTTAGGTAGGTGGTTGGTTTTAGCTAGGTGGTTGGTTCTAGCCGGGTGATTGGCTCTTGCCAGGTGGTTGGTTCTAGCCGGGTGGTTAGTTCTAGCCGGGTGGTTGGTTCTATCTAGGTGGTTGGTTGTAGCCCGGTGGTTGGTTCTAGCCGGGTGATTGGTTCTAGCCAGGTGGTTCGTTCGATCCGGGTGGTTGGTTCTAGCCGGGTGGTTGGATCTAGCCAGCTGGTTGGTTCTAGCTGGGTGATTGGTTCTAGCCAGGTGGTTGGTTCTTTCCATGTGGTTGGTTCTAGCCGGGGTGGTTGGTTCTAGCCGGGTAGTTGGTTCCAGACAGGTGATTGGTTATAGCCGAGTGGTTGGTTTTAGACAGGTGATTGGTTCTCGCCGGGAGGTTGGTTTTAGCCATTTGGTTGGTTTTAGCTAGGTGGTTGGTTCTAGCCAGGTGATTGGTTCTAGCCGGGTGGTTGGTTCTAGCCGGGTGGTGGGTTCAAGCTAGGTGGTTGGTTCTAGCCGGATGGTTGGTTCTAGCCAGGTGGTTGGTTCTAGCCAGGTGGTTGGTTCTTGCCAGGTGGTTGGTTCTAGCCGGGTGGTTGGTTCTAGCCGGGTGGTTGGTGCTATCCGGTTGATTGGTTCTATCCAGGTGGTTGGTTCCAGCAAGGTGGTTGGTTCTATCCAGGTGGTTGGTTCTAGCCAGGTGGTTGGTTGTAGCCGGGTGGTTGGTTCTATCCACGTGGTTGGTTCTTGCCGGGTGATTGGTTCTATCCGGGTGTTTGGTTCTAGCCGGGTGGTTGGTTCTTGCCGGGTGAGTGGTTCTAGCCAGGTGGTTGGTTCTTGCCGGGTAGTTGGTTCCAGCCAGGTGATTGGTTCTAGCCGAGTGGTGGGTTATAGCCAGTTGGTTGGATCTAGCCAGGTGGTTGGTTTTAGCTAGGTGGTTGGTTCTAGCCGGGTGGTTGGTTCTAGCCAGGTGTTTGGTTCTAGCCAGATGATTCGTTCTAGCTGAGTGGTTGGTTATAACCAGGTGGTTGGTTCTAGCCGGGTGGTTGGTTCTAGCCAGGTGTTTGGTTCTAGCCAGGTGGTTCGTTCTAGCCGGGTGGTTGGTTCTAGCCAGGTGGTTGGTTCTAGCCGGGTGGTTAGTTCTAGCCGGGTTGTGGGTTCTAGCCAGGTGTTTGTTTCTAGCCAGGGGATTGGTTCTAGCCGGGTGGTTGGTTCTAGCCAGGCGGTTGGTTCTAGCCAGGTGGTTGGTTCTTGCCAGGTGTTTGGTTCTAGCCAGGTGGTTGGTTCTAGCTGGGTGGTTGGTTCTTGCCAGGTGGTTGGTTCTCGCCAGGTGGTTGGTTCTAGCCGGGTGGTTGGTTCTAGCCAGGTGGTTGGTTCTAGTCAGGTGGTTGGTTCTAGCCACCTGGTTGTTTCTAGCCAGGTGGTTGGTTCTATCCAGGTGGTTGGTTCTTGCTGGGTGATTGGTTCTAGCCAAGTGGTTGGTTCTTGCCGGTTGATTGGTTCTAGCCAGGTGGTTGGTTATTGCCGGGTAGTTGGTTCCAGCCAGGTGATTGGTTGTAGCCGAGTGGTGGGTTATAGCCAGTCTGGTTGGTTCTAGCCAGGTGGTTGGTTTTAGGCAGGTGGTTGGTTTTAGGTAGGTGGTTGGTTTTAGCTAGGTGGTTGGTTCTAGCCGGGTGATTGGCTCTTGCCAGGTGGTTGGTTCTAGCCGGGTGGTTAGTTCTAGCCGGGTGGTTGGTTCTATCTAGGTGGTTGGTTGTAGCCCGGTGGTTGGTTCTAGCCGGGTGATTGGTTCTAGCCAGGTGGTTGGTTCGATCCGGGTGGTTGGTTCTAGCCGGGTGGTTGGATCTAGCCAGGTGGTTGGTTCTAGCTGGGTGATTGGTTCTAGCCAGGTGGTTGGTTCTTTCCATGTGGTTGTTTCTAACCGGGGTGGTTGGTTCTAGCCGGGTAGTTGGTTCCGGCCAGGTGATTGGTTATAGCCGAGTGGTTGGTTTTAGCCAGGTGATTGGTTCTCGCCGGGAGGTTGGTTTTAGCCATTTGGTTGGTTTTAGCTAGGTGGTTGGTTCTAGCCAGGTGATTGGTTCTAGCCGGGTGGTTGGTTCTAGCCGGGTGGTGGGTTCAAGCTAGGTGGTTGGTTCTAGCCGGGTGGTTGGTTCTAGCCAGGTGGTTGGTTCTAGCCAGGTGGTTGGTTCTAGCCGGGTGGTTGGTTCTAGCCGGGTGGTTGGTTCTAGCCGGGTGGTTGGTGCTATCCGGTTGATTGGTTCTATCCAGGTGGTTGGTTCCAGCAAGGTGGTTGGTTCTATCCAGGTGGTTGGTTCTAGCCAGGTGGTTGGTTGTAGCCGGGTGGTTGGTTCTATCCACGTGGTTGGTTCTTGCCGGGTGATTGGTTCTATCCGGGTGTTTGGTTCTAGCCGGGTGGTTGGTTCTTGCCGGGTGAGTGGTTCTAGCCAGGTGGTTGGTTCTAGCCGGGTAGTTGGTTCCAGCCAGGTGATTGGTTCTAGCCGAGTGGTGGGTTATAGCCAGTTGGTTGGATCTAGCCAGGTGGTTGGTTTTAGCTAGGTGGTTGGTTCTAGCCGGGTGGTTGGTTCTAGCCAGGTGTTTGGTTCTAGCCAGATGATTCGTTCTAGCTGAGTGGTTGGTTATAACCAGGTGGTTGGTTCTAGCCGGGTGGTTGGTTCTAGCCAGGTGTTTGGATCTAGCAAGGTGGTTCGTTCTAGCCGGGTGGTTGGTTCTAGCCAGGTTGTTGGTTCTAGCCGGGTGGTTAGTTCTAGCCGGGTGGTTGGTTCTAGCCAGGTGTTTGTTTCTAGCCAGGGGATTGGTTCTAGCCGGGTGGTTGGTTCTAGCCAGGTGGTTGGTTCTAGCCAGGTGGTTGGTTCTACCCGGTTGGTGGGTTCTAGCCAGGTGGTTGGTTCTAGCCGGGTGGTTGGTTCTAGCCGGGTGGTTGGTTATAGCCAGGTGGTTGGTTCTAGCCGGGTGGTTGGTTCTAGCCAGGTGGTTGGTTCTAGTCAGGTGGTTGGTTCTAGCCACCTGGTTGTTTCTA